GAGTTGTGGGCAGGGCAAAATTTTCTCTTTGTTTTTTATTTTTCCTTTGCTTAATGAACTTAAGTTGTCCTTTTAAATAAGGTCAATTCTATCAAAAACACCTGCTACTACTACCAGTTTCTCTGCTGAAAGAGTATTCTCCAGGATCCTTAAAATATGGTTGGGTAAAGTACTGACCTGAGATGCAGTCTTTCCAAGAGGAAGAATTGCATGGTTTTCAGTCTAAGCCAGGTAAATAATAAAGGATAGACGAAAGACTTCAAAACTAGAATAAAATATGTATTTTTAAGGATTTTTGAGAGAAAGTTGAAAAAAAAAGTTCCAGCCATAGATAGTGTGGCCGAGGAGAAACAATAGAGGTGTGGTATAGATGTGTCCAGATGGGAATAAGGCTTACCCCAGGGAGTGGGAAGGTGATGGAGGCCAGAAGAGGGCCTGTGCACCTTTCACAAAGGGAGATCGGGGAGACGTCCCCTCGCCAGAAAGTTGCTAGTAGGGAGGAAGTGCACCAAAAGTTTAAGTTGGATTCAGTCCCATAAGGAAATGCAAGTCCTAGGAGTCAGCCACTGGCTGAGGACATGTGACAGCAGGACATCAGCGGTTGTGTCATCTTTCAACGTGGCTATGGTACAAGTGAGCGGCGTGGGACACTTGCGTAGCCTTCGACTCGTCTTGGACCCTCTTTTGCTCATCTTTCATATCTTAAATCTAGCTTTGCCTCACAGAGAGCTTTGACTGAGGAAGATGTGGTAGTTCCTTAACACTGTTGAATGAATTTAAAAAAATGGTACGTTCATCAGAAAAACAAAGGAGAGGATTGGGTAAGAGTGAGGGTGGTAACTAAGTTAAATTTGGTCTTGGCTATTAAAGAAAAGGACTATTTTAAATACAAGGCTGGCTAGGTTAGAGTATTGCAGGGCTCATGTGAAACCATTCTCCCTGCTGACGAAGCAGAGGGACATGAAGCTGAGAGACATGGGGTGGTGGTAAAAGATCCATCCCCAAGTGCCTCTGACTCCTGCTGCTTATGTCTCAGCTGATTCATTAAAATTCAGCTATTGGCATGTGTTTGGATTTATGAAGCCTTGGAAATAAAGGATCCAAAACTGTTTGGTCTCAAACGCAGGCTGGGCTGACACAAATATATCTATCCAGAAGTTGGGAGGCTGCGTTTGGAGGCTGGGATGTGGGATTAGAGGAAAGGAGAAATCTTCATAGCTATGTAGTAGATGATTTTACAACTGATTTAGATTTCATTGCACCTAATAACAGTATAAGCAGCGGCAGGGATTATAACTTCACTCTGAAGAAAATCACCTTAGCAATGGTGGAATAAATGGTTTGTGATCAATTGATGTGTAACAGACAAGTTATTCTCCCTTCTGAATGCGAATACTGTTGAACAGCTGGGTGCATGTTCAGCTTTCCAGCGGAGAGAGCTGGAAAAGACTGGGGCGGTCTTAAGACATTGACTCACATGTGATGCTGACTAAATGCAGATGGCTTAAGCGGTTCCTGTCTTCAGTTTTATGCTTTGCCTCTCTCTCGGAGGCTGCTGTTCCTGCAGCAGTGCTGGCTGAGTGATATATGAAATATGAGTGTTTACATTTATGAGCCAAACTGTAAAAATGTGTTGGGGAGCAGAGTCACATAAGCCAGTGCTTGTAACTGCTAAAATTCTTGTGGCTGGGAAGTACGAGCAGAGCATTCCTTGTTTGCTGACTGCAGCTGAGGAGCAGTAAGTAGTAAAAACATCTGTGATTCAAAATGGGCAGGGGAAAAACTCCGAAGTTTTATTTATTTGGGCTTTCCATGTTGAAAACCTGTTAAATGGGATCAGGTAGAAAAAAAGCATTCTAGTAATTGGAAGAGTGAGGTTTAGCATGGTTAGAAATGGCGGGGGGAGGGTGTGAAGGTGGTGGTGTCATGACCATTCTTGTCCTTTGCCTACCCATGAAAACTTTTGTCTTAGGCACAGGTGCCAGTGCTGACAATTTGGGGACATAATTGACAAAGTCATTTGCAGCAAAGGTTGGTTTTTCAGAGCAGCAGTCTGAGTCATTGTAGAAGAGAAAAAGATGCATCAATACAGAAGAGCTAGAAGAAGTTAAATTTATAGACTGTTTGGAGGAACTTTGGGATTAGCTCTGGGTCTAGACTCTGACGTCTTGACACCAACTTGCGAAACGCTCACAACAACTGCTGTAGTGTGATTTTGCAATTCTAGAGGCGGGAATTCTGGACAGGAGCACGTTAGTCCTGTTACTGTACATACAGAAGTGCCGTGTTGGAAGGCTGATTGCAAACACCAGGGAGCAGCTTCTCCAGCATATCGGGAACCTGTGGTCATTTTGTCCTCATATGTTGCAGAAGTGGAAATATTAGTGGTTCGTGCACAGCTGGATAAAGCAGTAGGGACAGTCAGTGTAGTCATGCAGGAGTGGACTACAGAGCATCTGAATGCTTCTCAGAGAGTGAATTTTCATACTGGGATATTAGGTAATTGGAAAATCATCTGGCAGCGTTGGTTTCCAGAAAATGTGGCATCTCCAATGTCATCCCTGAGGAAAAGTATTCCGGACCCAGAGGAATTTGGCATTCTGAGTGAAATACTCCTTTGCAGGTGAGAAGACCTGATGGGTGATGGATTCAGGTATTAGCTGATTATAGCAGATACCCAAAACCTTTCCAGTGCTCGATGATGACCATATGGCTGCTGTGCTCTTTGCAAAAGCCTTGACTGAAGGAAAGGAGGGTTTCTATGGATATAATCAGAACACAGTAGGAACCATCATCAGTGTTTTGGTTCCAGGCACTGATGTGTTACAAAAGACAGTCATGAGAGCTAAGCTGTTGTGCGGCATGGGAGGGTGTTCATCGGCATCTGCATAGGTCCTTGCATCAGCCAGAAAGCATCTGTGCACTTCTTCATGGACAAGTTTGAGGTTTGCTCTCCAAAGTATGAAGAGGCTTTGACTGTAGCATAGTTTCCAGTTAATAAGCCTTTACCCCAGTAGGTGAAATGGGATTCTAGGAAGGGGACTGCAAGCAGCATGGTGACTCGGTGATCAACAGTTGATGGAAAACATCAGGCAGCTGACCATTTATCATATTGGGCTTTAAATAAAGACTGAACCTGATCAGTTAAGTAGAGCTCCTTTCAAGGCACAGAGGAAATTCTAGAAACCCCACAATGCAGAACAGAGAGGGGAACATGTCCTTTTGTAAGAACAAATTTAACTTGATCTCTAGTAAATGAGAAGGTGGTCTTGGATGATCAATTGTATGTTTGAAAGCAAATGCTTACAAGAAGCTATCTGCCTAGGTTCCACAGTCCCACAGGGATGGAAAGCTAAAGTTTGCTAAACCTAGTGGGTTTAGTAGTTTTCGTATGTTCACTCTTTAGAAATTGTACATTGTACCATTGTACTGCTGACCTGTCAGGAAAAGTTACTTTGGGAGGAAAAAAAAAAGGGATAGTATGTACATTTTTACAGCCCATAAAAATCCTGCATTGTCTAAAAACACAGTGCTCCTTGAGCATCGAGTCACCTCCAGAAACCAGGCTTCAGTATCTGTTGTCTCCAGATCCTCTCCTCCCTCCCCTGGCTGGCTGCCCTCCTCTCCCCTATCACCCCTTCCCCATGCCCTCTCCTCTGCCGCGCTCCTGATTTATTCCCCCCAGAACTCCTTTGTCTTAACTGCATGAATCAGAGCAGTGACACAGGGCCGGTTCCCAGGGTGGCTGAGCTAAGGCAGTGACGGGTCCCTCTCTTTCTGCTTGCACTGTCCCACTGGCTCGGGCGCCTATCACACCTGCAGAAAACTCCCCCCACTGCACTGGTTTTCTGCCAACTTACTAATTATTATAAATAATTAGTTTATAATCTGACTAGGAAAAATATAGGATCAATCTTTCGGAGAGAGTACAGGAGGTTTAACAGTGTTAGGCAGAAGCAACAAAGAAAAAATCGCATCCCTCAGTTCCAGTTCATTGTTCTTCCTCACCCTATAGAGAGCAGTGTATCTCACTGTCGTGGTTTAACCCCAGCCAGCAACTAGGAACCACGTAGCCACTTCCTCGCTTCCTCTCCTCCCCAGTGGGATGGGGAGAAGAATCGGGAAAATAAGGAAAACTCATGGGTTGAGATAAAGACAGTTTAATAAGTAAAGCAAAAGCCATGCATGCAAGCAGAGCAAAACAAGGAATTCATTCACTACCTCCCATCGGCAGGCAGGCATTCAGCCATCCCCAGGAAAGCAGGACTCTATCGTGTGTAATGGTTACTTCGGAAGATAAAACACTGTCACTGCAAATGTTGCCCCCTTCCTTCTTCTTCCCCCAGCTTTATATTCTGAGCATGACATCATATGGTATGGAATATCCCTTTGGTCAGTTGGGGTCAGCTCTCCTGGCTGTGCCCCATCCCAGCCTACTCGCTGGTGGAGTGGTGTGAAGAGCAGAGAAGGCCTTGAGTGCATCAAAACAACTGAAAACACCAGTGCCCTATCAACACTATTCTCATCCCAAATCCAAACCACAGCACTATACCAGCTGCTAGCAAGAAAGTCAACTCCATCCCAGCTGAAACCATGACAGTTATTAGTGTTACTGGATAATCTTACCTCGTTTTGGACCTCTGTGTCTTCATCCAAGAACAAAACAAAACAAAACAACTTAGCTGTAAGGATATGAATAGCTGTAATTATGAAGAAAAGGAGCAGGGTCAACCTAATGGAGGGTCAACATAATCCTGACAATTTTATACAAAGATGTATTGTCTTTTCCTACTGCCTTTCCTATTTATGATGAGCTGTTTTGCTTAATGTAGCCACTTTGTATGCTCAGGTTGCCAGAAGACAAAAGCTTTGAGAACTTTGCTTGGGGCTTGCTTCAGTTACTGGCTTAGGGTTTGGTCTGTTAATGAAAAAAAAAAGGACTCTAGAGAAAGTTAAGTATTTGCTGATGTGTTTGCTTCCTCCCATTCACTGTGTTTCAGAAAATCTTCAGAAGAACTGGACATGGATAAAGTAACAGCAGCCATGGTACTCACCAGTTTATCCACCAGCCCTTTGGTCCGCAGCCCTCCTGTCCGACCCAACGGTAAGCCTTCAGAGCGGCGCCTGGGCAGGGGCTGCAGGGAGGGGTGCCAGGGCTGTGTATGTGGGAGTTTGTTTCCAGGAGCTGTGGCCGTGGTGGAGGACAAAGGATGAGTGGCTGTCTTCTGGCAGTGGCCTGTGCGTGCTGAGGATCATACTGAGTGACTTTTGCCCCGACATAGTTGAGGTCTTTGGTGCAGCATTGGCAGAAATTAGAAGAAACCTTTTCCGTAACCATAGAGCGGCTCCAGTTTATGAAACGGGAGATGCCTCATTTCATAAAAGGGAGATGAATACTGCAGAAGGTTTCCTGACCTCACTGGAACGCTGATTTTCCAAACAGATTACTTGCATTCGCACATATGCAGTAAACAGGACAGTGGTGGTTCCTTTCCCCACCCCATGGAAATAGGATCAAATTTTACTGAACACTACGATGAAGCAAACCACTTCCAGATCACGGCCCTCAGCTGAGAGGCTGTGCACGAGCCGTCTGCACAGCGACAGGTCTGTTTTTGCCGATGCAGGATTGGACCCTCCGTTCCTGTGCCCTTTGTAGCTCTGATGTTCTACCATCAAATCCATAATTCCTTAAAAGACTTCTCCATTCGTGGTATAGCAGAAGACACACAAATAAAAATAAATCTGAAAAGTTAGTGGTAGTAATGAGATTGCTAATGGAATATAATTAATCTATCCAAGCTTGACTGGAGTTACAAGAAATTTTTAGAAGTGTTATATTTTAAGGAATAATTTAAATTAGGACACCCTTGTTAGGATGTCTCAGCATGGTTTGTATGACTGGCTTTTCTTACTCATAACTGTTAAATCGCTACTAAATGCCCTTCTACTGTAAATAATTGGAGTACTTTGAGGAATACTAACTAATTGCAAATTAATAGGGAAATAGTCTTGGCAGTTCATCATGGAAGCAGAGGCAGTTCACTGAATGATGCTGTGCTTAAAAGGAATCTGTACCCTGATAAATGTCCTGTCTTTCAAGATTTTTGAACAAATAGTGTGGGTTTTTTTCATTTCTTTCCAGAAAACTTAAATTGTATCCATTCAGATCAAAGTCTAGCCATGAACCTCCATGGCTCCTGCCTGTGTGCTTTCCGCGCACTTACCAAATGTTAAAACCAGAAGTATTTATGGAGCATCACTGCTCTGAGGCGCCCTAGGAAACCTCCAGCGGTGACATCCCCAGTGGCTGTCCCACCTCAGAGCTGGAAGTTGCCTGCCCCCAGGGAAGGCCAATGGAAGAGGAAAAACATACCTGCTCTCCAGCTGCTCCAGATCACAGCCGAAACCACAGATGAAGGTGGATCTGTGCTGTGCCAGGCAGGGATTTGGAGTGGCCAAGGCACACTTGTGTCTGACGTTGCATCCCTGGTCGTGGGGAGCTGCTCTCGTGTGGGGCAAGGCAGTATCTGCCACCTTAAACAGTTTGAGCAGATGACAGTTGTCAGGAGGTGCACCTTAGCTAGCAGCTGTTGGTTGGAAAGATCTTCCAAACAAGGCCTTTTGAATTGCTAATAGGTAAATGGTAGCTGTTAACTGCCTTTGATATTTCTTCATGCAGCCTGAGTGCTCTTTGATATTTCTTCATATAGCTTGTCTGCTTTTTTCCCGAAATCTGGGAAGACAAGCCTGAAAAAGTAGTTCACGTGTTTTCAGTAGTCACAGACAAGATTTTGAACCTGTTGTTGGGCACGTTCTCCCTGAATATCTTAGTTTTGCCCGAGCAAGGACTTACTAAAGACTTCAATGAAAGTGTGAAGATTTGATAAATTAAAGCTCAATTGGGGTTGCAAGGCGAGGCTCTGATCTTAGTAATACAAGCTACAAATGTACTAATGATTAATCCTTTCTACATCCTTTTCCAAAAAAAAAGGGGCAGCAAGTAGCAGTGTAATTAAAGGAACGTTTGTTTAAACAAATGGAATTTTGCCTGGAAGTAAAAAAAATGTTGCCATTAATATTAAGACTCTCTACTTTGAGGGTGACAGCACTGGAACAGGCTGCCCAGAGAGGCTGTAGAGTCTCCTTTTCTGGAGATATTCAAAACCCACCTGGATTTGTTCCTGTCCAACGTGGTGTGGGTGAACCTGCTCTGGCAGGGGGGTTGGACTAGACGATCCCCGAAGGTCCCTTCCATCCCCTTCCCCTCTGTGATTCTGTGACTAAAGTCTGATCTGTGCTGGAATTACTGGGGATGGTCACCCATGTAAACTGGATCAGAGTTTGGTCCTTGTTTCCCTGCAGCTGAGCAGTATTTGATCTGGTTCTCTTTCACGGAACTCCAGTAATGTGAAAAGAGCCACAAAATAAGAGTAAGTTGCATTTATATATGTTTTTAGCTTCTTTACATTGACAGATTTGTTAGTATTAATGAGAACCAGTGGGTTTTTTTTTTCCCTGTTCAGCCTGGTTCAGTCTTTACCATTCTACTTCAGAAATGTTCTTGATTTACATCTCTTTCTCAGCAAGGTGAGGAGGAGCTGTAAACTCTGAGAATACAAAGTATCACCATAAATGTGTCAGAAAGTAGTAGTTGAAAGAGTGCTGTTTCCTTTGTTTTTCTGAAGAAATGGAAATTTTAAGCTATGCTGAGGTCACAAGTTGATACCAGATGTACTTCTTGGCTTTGGCACGAGACCCAAGTACACATACTTAAAAAGAAACAAAATCCACCTCCATTACAGTCACATGAAGGCTGTAATCGTGAACCAAAACATGACATTTTCATATGTTAACTTACTAGCTACCAGAAACATTTATGTCCTTTTCTAAAGAGGAATTTTCTGGGGGGAGGGAGGGTTGATCCCATTTATTCTCTGTGGCCATTAGCAGTAAGTGCAGGGACTTGGCTGCTGCCCACGCAAGGGGGTATTTTTATGCATGTGCTTACGTGATGGAGCACTGCATTCTGTTTTGTGAGCAGGTGATGTTAATGATTAAGGGTTTCATCCAAAACCGACTGAATTAGGAGGGAAAAAAAAATCCATTGGTTTTGGGTTAATCTTTTAGTAGCAGATGGTAGACATTATTTTCTTGCTGATGTCATTAGTTAAATTTATCTGTAAGAAATTGAGAAGGAATGAAGGAGCGACTTCTGCAGAACTCTTAAAGGCAGGCGCTGGCTTGAAAAGACTCCTGTCTCACACTTAAGTAATGTTTCACGAACAGATAAGATGTTACTTGCTTGCCAGCTCCAAAGTTGGGTATTGCACAATACTCGGGCACCTACAATGTCACTGGGAAAAGCTTCCAATGCCCAAGTTAGGGAGAAGCTGCACCAAAACCATCCCTGTGTGTGTGCCCAAGCCCTGTGAGAACCTGAAGCTTCAGGCAGAGCCGCCTGTGGTTGCATCACTGGACATGATCGGGCCATACGTTTACTGAGCTGATGGCCTACGGACTCTCCTGCCGAAAGCCCTTTAGGGACTGGGAAGAGTGACATGCCAATGTCTAATGGCTGAGGACCTCAGCAGGTGACCTCAGGCCATGGCTCAGACTGCGAAAGCAGTGCTGTTACTCCCACGCACCGTGTTGTAGCGTAACCTGTTAGTCTGAGTGTCTGCTTACCACCGAATGTCAGGGGAGCTGCTGCAGCGAGGAGGGAGGTTCTCCAGTGAGTAGGTGTGGAGGTGATCCCGCCTCTGAAACCAGATGCCTAACGATACACGTGTATGAAAATAAAGGGATATCCTTCCAAGGATACGTACCACCTCAATTAGAGACTCCAATTAGGCAGAGGTGTGTACACTAGGAGGTAATGAGAAGACAGTTAAGAGTGTAATTATGGTTTTCTTTGGTGTTTTAGTACTGGGATGATGATCGTGTTTTTGCAGATCTAGTTAGTGTCCTGGTGTTCAGAGTGTATGTCCCCTTCCCAGGGGACCTCCTGTTGGCCGTGGGGTGTCTTGGAGCTTGCTCTGACACTCCACCACAGTCATGTGTTCCTGTTGAAAGTTGAGGATGTATTTGAAAGTTTTTCCCTTAATCATGCATGCAGTAACTGACTGCTTGTTGGGGTTTATGCTCCAGAACAGGTTATTTTTCCAAACCCAGCATTTCTTTTTTAAAAAATACACCTGAAAAATCAAGTGTGGAATATGCAATTTGTTTGCAGTGGGATGTGATGTGCTTGTCCTCTCTTCCTCCAACACTTTTGCTTTCCTTTGTTGAATGTACAGTTACTTACGAACACAGCATCTAAGCCTGATATAAAAGAGCTGCTCAGCCCTAACACGTGATACTGTTGTAACGATGGCTGTTGTTGTTCTTGACAGAATCCCTAAACGGATCTTGGAAAGAAGGAGGATTTGTGCCTTCTAGTACCAGCAGCAGTGGATACTGGAGCTGGAACGCTCCCAGTGACCAATCCAACCCATCCACCCCATCTCCACCTCTGTCAGCTGATAGCTTCAAAGCTTTTCGGACACCTTCCCAGCCAGATGATGGTATTGATGAAGCTGAAACAAGCAACCTTCTCTTTGATGAACCCATTCCTAGGAAGAGAAAGGTTTGCCTCTCATTAAATTTCCATACCCATGGGCAGATAGGATATTGGCGGATGTATTTTGCTGCGAGAAAGGAACAGGTTACCCAAACAGCTCTGTATGCGTATCCCTCCTTGGCATACAATTAACGTAGGTACTTAGCCTAGTTGCTATGTCTCGTTCTACCTAATCACCTACTGCACACACACGCTGCCATCAGCGCCACATATTTGCTGGCAGATGGTGAGGTTCTACAGAGCCTCCTGCTCAGAAAAGACTAGAGCGATTTCCAGAAGGTGTTGCCTCTGGCCATTCAAGGGATTTCTATCCTACTTTGGCAAATTCTTTGTACGCAGGACGCAACAGGCAGCCTTTACATGTCATCACAAAAACTGGATATGGCCTTAATACTTCTTGTTCCCTGAAAGTGCTGTTTGTCTGACAGCATGTCAGATACCTTAATACTGTGAAGCTTTCTCTCTGCAAGCATATGGAGTGAAAAAAGGAGAGAGAGCTGAAACCTGATGGCTTTTGATACAGTATTAGCAGTGGCCAAATTTATCCTTAGTAGGAGTGCAAAAGCAGACTAAATAAAACACAGGAAAAAACCCCAAAACCGAAGTCCCAAACGAACCCCCAAAAAGCACCGTTATGCCTGCAAGCAAGCTCCTTTCAAAGAAGAAGAAAACAAAGAGATGGCACTAGTCCAAGTTTCCTTCCCTCCCAGTGCAACAGGACAGGTTTTACATAGCAAGATGAAAAAGGGCTTTTTGTAAGGAGAAAAAACAGAGAATTTATTCTCCTTAGTGACTTCGTTTCTGGCTCAGTCTGAGACAGTTAATTGCTTCATCACAAGCAGGAAGAAGTTTTAATGATTGTTTAAACCTGTTCAGATTTATCCTTTTGCTCCCGAAGTTGCGTATTTCCCAACCCACACAGTTCTGTCCTTGTTTGTGGGAGAGGGGTGTAAAATGCTTGTGCTTCTTGCTGAAAATGAAAAAAAAAAAATATTTTGGAGGACACTTTTGTTCTAATAGATTAGAGCTGGCTGTTAAATTAAAGACAGGGCTGATTTTGTGGGGTGTGGGACAGGAGGAGTAGCAAAGCAGAAGTGTGCTGGTTTGCCTTTTACTTCTCAGTTAAAGTTCAGCTTATTAGCATCACTCATTGCTCAGCTGTGATGAGACAGATGGGTTTGCAGCTGCCATCTTTATATTGTTTTCTAAGTTGTCTTCGTATATTTCTATTTATGTACCCACCACAGATCTATTACACTATCTGTTCTGGTTCCTGGGAATTTCGCTCTGTATGGCAAATGTTTAATTTAGATAAATAGTAACATTGCCTGCCAAACCTTGTTTTATAAATTAACTGCATTTCCTGCATTTTTTTTTTATTCTGGCCCCAATATCTGAGTATACAGCTTTGTACCTTTAGAAGCTGAAATAAAAATGTTCAGGTTACTTCTTCAGGGCTGCAAAAATCAGAAGGAATAAACCTTGAAATAGATTGATTGGTAACCTTACTTTTTCTCATTAACATTTCTTCCATTTCATGTTTGGAAAATGTCATGTTAGCAACCACTTCCTGTTAAGAAAGTCGTTTGCTTAAGAGTTTCCACTAATGTAGTTATTCCTCACCAAACCATTTATGTTCCATTGTTTTCTTAAATAAAACATTAAGCCTGATCGGGCAATTTTTGGACTACTCGGAAATGGAAGCATGGCTTATGTTCTGTATTTCTACTGAGTGAGATTTCATTTGGTTACGTTAAAATGTATGGGGTTTTGCAGACTCTTAGCGCTGACAATAAAGCCAAAACCACAGTGGAGCTAGGAGATTGGTTTTACCATCAAAGTGGAGATTGATGTTAAACCTTTCTGTATTCATAAAGATGCATATGGTGTCCATGATGTCATATCAGAATTCCTAAGATGTAAATGATAAGCATGGTCTTCATCTTGTTGCTGTGGTTGGTTATGGGTTTTTGAGCGATGATAGTATTTAGTATTATATTATAAAAGTAAGAAATGTCTCTACCAGAACTGCTAGATAGATTATATTTAATTTTAGGAAAAACAAAGTTCTGTATCTATTTGAATGGTAGCTGTGCTCTCAGATCAAAAAATTATAGACAGAATCGATGTGCAGTTTATTCCTAAGTAGGTTTTCATCCAAACAGTATGATCGGGTACCTCAAATCTTAAAGCCCTTAGCGTCCATACTTTCAAACAGGAGTTGTTAGACTGCCAAGTAACTATAAGAACATGCTACTACAATCAACTTGTATCTTAAGAATCCCATCTGCTGAGATTTTTTAAAATTATATTCTAGTCATCATCTTTCTAGCAAACGCTGAAACTTACCGTCTACTGGCATGCGGTTCCAAAGGGTCCAGGTTGAAGAAAGCACCAAGTCAACTTTTATTCAAGACAGTGAAGCATGTACTTAACCCTAAGGATGTGCTTGTTCCTTTTTTTTTATTAATCAAGCTTTATATGAATACATTCATTTAATCGTACATCTAACTAAAATTACAGGATAATAATACAGTATTTTGAAGCTCTTCCTCATGTTTTCTTTAATAATGTATTCTGTAATAATAGAGAAAAATATTTTTGAGAAGTACAAATTATTTAGATTTTTTTTAAAGTTAAAATTGATAAAGTAGGTTTCATTTTGGACTAAAATTAGCTTTTAAAAAAATCTATACAGTTTTGCAACATCTGTGTTACTTGTTACCACATACTGTGCTTTAAGACTAATTTTCTCCAGAGTCTTCAAAATATTGAAGATTGGGCTGTTTACAGCCTTGTTGGCTGTGCTCTAAATCAATGATAACTCAGTTTAGGCCAATGAAATTATATTAAAGAATATAACAAGAATATTAAAATGTGATTATACACATATTCTTTTAAAAGTGTTTAACACAACCAGATGGCTTCTCATTCTCTTTGCCAAGTAAGGGTCACAGCAGCTTCTGAATGAAATAAAAACAGGTTTTGCTAGCTCATGGGTGAATATTGTCATTGCAGAAGCTATGCCGTTTTTCTGGCATGGTATTTTTTATGTTTTGCAAAATTCACAAGCAGAAATACTCATAAGAGCTTGCTTTAGGAAGATCTTAATTTAAGAAGATGCTTTGCATTAACTGAGAAGTCGTCATCAGTTGTTCTTTGAAAGGCTCCGAAGAAGCGTAGGAAGTTTTTATCTTGTCTGCCTTCTTTAGTGGGGAGACAAAAACTGGAACTTGCAACTGACAAAGCCATGCCAACGAGCAGAGAAGCTAAGTTTTGTCACAAGCTGCTCCTGCTGCTTTTCTCTGGGATTCTGTTGGGTTCAGTAGGATGGCACTGATGCCAGAGACTATTACATCATTACAAAGTTGGAGTTAGAGGCGCTGAACATTTACAGTGGGTTTTAACTGTGTATCTGGTTTTGGGTAGTTTGGTTTTCTTTCTGTCCTCCATACAACTAATGTTGCTTTACTCATAATTTTCAGAACTCCATGAAGGTGATGTTCAAATGCCTGTGGAAAAACTGTGGGAAGGTACTGAGCACAGCTGCAGGGATTCAGAAACACATAAGGACCGTTCACCTTGGGTAAGAGAGCAGTCTCTTCGGAAGTCTAAAGGATTTGGTGTAGAAGTGGGGAGCAGTCGCACTTGGCTGGGGAGATGAACTGAATTGTCCGTGGCTTTTCTGTCTCAGACCACTAGGTTTCTGAGGAAATTGTGGAGTAGTGCGTCAAGGTGAACGAGAACTTATTCCAACAGCGAGGCACCTTCTTTCCTGAACTTCTGGGGACTTTCCTAGAAGGTCAAATACAGCTCTAGGTCACACTGCACTTCCCTATTGGCCTCACAACTCAGTGGCATTTACTTCATATGTGTTATCCGTGTCTCATGTCCAGGCTGACACTGTGTGAAAGGCAGCAGGTTTCAGGGTCTTGCATGAATACTTTCCAGCCTTGTTTCACTTCAGATCATAGAATCATAGAATGGTTCAGGTCAGAAGGGACCTTGAAGATCATCGAGTTTCAGTGCCTCTGTCAGAGACAGGGACCCCTCCCACCAGACCAGGTTGCTCAAAGTCCCATCCAGCCTGGCCTTGAACACCTCCAGGGATGGGGCATCCGCAGCTTCTCTGGGCAACCTGTTCTGGTGCCATACCACCCTCAAAGTGAAAATTTTTTTCCTAATACGTAATCTAAATCTACCTTCTTCAAGGTAGAAGATCAGGTGTTTGTGTGAGTTCTGGGTCAAATTAATGCCAAAAAAACCCCACCGAAGAAACCCAAGAAAAAGAAACTGAGCTGCAGTTCCGTGTGTGTGTTACTTGGACTAGAAGCAAAAGAGAATGAATCTGGTATGACACAAGCTTTTTTCAGAGCTTTAGTTTGCAACTGAAATCTCCTGTGCGAAGTGACCTTGCTGTTTTGTATATAGTTACAGTGGGGAGTCTTCACAGTCTTCACCTGTTAGATACATGGAAATACATCTCTGGTGTCAGTCTGTGTTATCCAGTGCTTAAAAATAAAAGTGACCATGAGGAAAAAGTCTGGTGTGGAGCTCGGGAGAGTCTTGCAAAGGTCATAGTAATTGCTGTTGGGCTTAGGCTCTGAAGAAATAGGCTATCAGAAACAGATAAAATACGTCCCAGAATGCAGTCATGAATGTTGCTTTTTGTCCTGTATATTGTGGACACATCCTTTTCATGGCACAGGAGAGGAGAGAGTTCCAGCAGAACTTCCCTGGAATTTGGAGCTTGTAACTATGCCAGAGAGAGGGGTTTTGGTGAGTGACTGGCAGCCATCTGGCAGGTGCTACTTCTGCTAGAGCTTTGCAAATCCGCTGAACCCGTGCTCTTAATGAGTTTTATTGAGTAAGGTGGCAAGAGAACCGCAGGTAGCGCTATGGAGGCAAGCAGGCTGCAGAACTGGCGAGGGGCTGTTCTTGGGGTCCATGCCTGGAAAAAAAGGGGCCCAGCGTTCAGCCCTGATATGGACATGCAGGCAGGAGAACCCTTAGGGCTCCCACATTTCCCATATGGAGGAGACGCATGTATGAGCTGTGAGTTACATCTGTGTAGCGTGTGGATTTATGAGTGGGCTAAAATAGTGGTTTGTTTGGGACTCCAAGATAACGTGAACTGGGAACTACGACTTTGAGCTGCTTTGCTCCTGGCACTTGTGCTCAAACACTCAGCAGATAGTGCGGGGGGATGCAGGGACAAATAAGCCTTTAACATCTCCTCCTTCAGTAAGTCTTCTTCTGGAAAGTAGGACCAGAAAGCCCCGCACTGGCAAGCCAGCACGGATATGTCCTTTCTCTACCTGTGTCTGAGTGAGCTGCATGGTGAGACTGTTTTCTAGCAGCTTCTTCCTCTGTTATGCCAAGGAAAGTTACAGTGAACCACAGCCATAACTATATTTGGTGTAATTAATTAACCTATGATAAGATTACATACTGTTTGCCATAACATTAGTGAAGTGTATCTTGCCTGTGTTTGTTATCTTTACCCGTCCTTCTGTGGCTGCTCTGTCATTTCTGAAGTCAGAGAGTGTTGAGATTCTTGTTAACTTCAATAGTTAAGAATGAGAAACTGATATTTAAGCTGTAGCATAGAAATGAAACATCTACTCCAAGGTCAAAGAATTAGTCAAGAATAACACAGAGAGGAAAAAAATCTAATTCGTGCTTCTTTTCCCTTCAGACTAGATGATTATTTTTTCTCTCCCCCTTCTCTGCAGCCAGAATGCTGATAAAGTAGGTAGGGTTGAAACTGGGAATATTAATTTATTGACAGTGTGAATATATTTGCTCATGCATCTAGAACTTAAAATTTACCTTGGGGTTCTTGCTTTCCTTTAATCAGTCCTTCATTCTTTGTCTTGATACAGACGTGTAGGAGAGTCTGACTACAGCGATGGAGAGGAGGATTTTTACTATACAGAAATCAGGCTTAACACGGACTCAGTAGCTGATGGCTTAAGCAGTCTTTCCCCAGTCTCTCCATCTTTAGCATCTCCTCCTTCCTTTCCCACCCAAGACGCAATCCGTCCTGAAACTTCCTGTGCCAAAACCGAGACTAAATTGATGACACCTCTGAGCCGCTCAGCTCCTACCAACCTCTACCTCGTACACACGGACCATGCTTACCAGGTAACGCTAGTGAGAGTGAACTCCACTGATTACGCTAATGTCGTTAATGTATAAAGAAATGGCAGATGACAATGTTTGGGTTTTAAACAGCCAAGTCTAGTTTTAATGGGCTGAAAAGTTTTCAGGGCAACCCAAGGGATTGTCTCATTTAAATTTAGATGGCCACTTCTGAGCTAGTTGGTTGTTTGTTTGTTTGTGTTCCCACCATAGCCAATGGGTTTTGGGGTGCCACACATTTATTTATTCAGCCACACATAGGTGCATACTTCAGGTTGAGATGCGTTACTCTGTGTATCCTGCTGCCTACCTCAGTTAATTCTCCACTGACCATAAGGAGGGCCCAAGGTGATATGTTCAGATGTGGTCTCCTGCATTGTAAAAGTTCTCATTCAGCCGAATCCCTCCCAGAGTCTTCATTTCAGCTCTGCCTGTACTGGATACATCTGTAGGCAAGGACCCAAGGGATGCCAGAAACAATTAATTTCCTTTATTTGTACAGTGTGAGATGTCAGTTTGCATATGTGAAGTAGAGCAGGAAGAATGAAAAGGCATATATGGTATCCTCCTACTCTTAGAGGTAATGCTTTGCAAATGGCAAAAATCCAGTCAGATCCCAAAACTGCTGCTCCAAAACCTTCCAACTAAGTTCAGGCAGAAAGCATTAATTGTAAAAGTGCACTAAAATTTGACATATTTTGGTCTGGATGCCATATGAGAAAAGAATAGAGGCTTTGAAGTAGTGTGGTCCGTGACCTGGGTATGCACCGGATACTCACAGAACTGAACTCTGTTAAATTTATCAGATGCGATAACTTTTGTATACAGCGTTGTGCAGGTGAAACCTTTTTGTTGTGTGTCTGGAGCAGACCCACTAAAAGGGCAGAGAGAACCACACAGAATTCACAGCCTTGTTTTAGACTCTCATGCACAGCAGAAAGCATGGGTGGAAGCTTGGCGTCCCAGGTGGGAGCTGTGTTGGGTAGCTCACACCAACCTGGGAACTGATGAAGCCAGCTAGGAGAAAGACTTTTCTTCTCAGTCTGGCTTAAGCCCTGACTCGCACCGAGTGAGGCACCAAGCCTAGGCTGTTGAAAGGAGTCCCACTTCATTTGGGATTTGCAGCCGTGACAGTCTTCACTGCAATTTGGAGACTCACCCAATCCTTTTCTATAAGCAGCCTTTGAGTAAAGCACTTGCCTGAGGAAATATTGGTTCAAATGTTTAAGCCGCTTGAATTGGATTTGAATTGATGTATCCCACAACACGAGACTAGAAGTGGCTGAGCCCTGTCTCCTTTTCAAGTTGCTCTGGTTTCAATACTTCATTTCATCAGCGAGGAGTGTCATAGTCCACACTGCTGGAAGCAGGAGATGGGGTCCCTCCTGCACATCACATTCAGGTTTTCCTTGCAAAGGAGTCAGCTTCTGCAGAGCAGGTCGGTGGCATCCTGTGCTAGGGTCCCTCTAGCCCGGCAAGAAGAGCACTCTCTGGGAGGCAAGGTGGAGACTCAGCTCTCACCAGCAAGGGGAGGAATTGAGCCCAACTTTCACTTGTAGCATTTAAGCATTCTTGTGACTAATCTGTTGTGTAAAAGGGAATAGAAGAGAATGTGACAACAGTGTCTTTAATACCTCCATATTTCCTGCAGTTTCCTTGCTGGAGTGAGCCATATACAGAATTTCAAAACTTTTCTTTTACTTCTGGTAAAAATATTATCTGTATCAAAACTGAAATGAAGTATTGAACAGGAACACAGCAATGAAGACAATCTCTCATATGAATGAGAGCATGAAAGTAGAAATTACTTCATTGGGAGTGAAGAGGCAAAATTCACACCTCAGGGAACTCGGATAAGGGAGGCTGAATAATGTTCATCCCAAGATTCCTGTTAAAAAAGGGGAAAAAAATATCAAACCCAAAGCTGGGTCACAGAAATCCTAAACAGGATTTTCCATATGACTGGAAAATGGCAAATATAATACTGTAGTAAGAAAGGTGTAGTGTAGGAGGGAGAGCTGGGGAGTCGGGTAGAACAGCAGTGAGTTATTTCGAAAGAGTCGTTGACTGTTATTAGTGGAGTTGAATGAAAAGCTGTATTTGGGCCTGATCTCATTTTCATGAAATCATTTTGGTACTAGACAAATGCTATAATAAATACTATAATAAACATCGCTGATAACAAGCTCGGGGGATGTCAGCAGTACAGCCAACGACAACAGGTCTGTGAAGACAAAAAAAAAAAAAAGTCGCCAGCTTTCCTGGGTGAGAAATATCTAGGAGAGACAGGGATTTTTAATGCTGTGGTACAAGACCCCCGGATAACTTCAACTGAGATCCTGAGTACAGTTTTGCTCAACCAAGCCAAGTTCGAGGATGCTGGGCTCCAGTTAGAAGAGGCAGAAAGGTGATCAGAGTGAAGAGGGAAGGCAGGGAGGACAAGGAGGGCCTCTCCAGCCCAGGGACTGTCAGCTCGGGCAAAGCAGGGATTGCTGCCGGGGAAGAAGGTGAGAGGACAAACATGAGAGGAGAGGAGGATGAGGCTGTGCTATTTCAGATATAAGGGCAATATTGGCACAAATAAATAATTATAAATTATCCATGAATATATTTTGATTGGAAATTAGGTGGAGGTCTCTAAGCCAAGTGAGACTGGGGTATAGAAGCTCTTCAAGTGGCTCAGGGAAGCACTCTGTTCCCTGAAGCGGTGAGAACTTCAGCAGCCTCAAACACAAACACTACTTAAATAAGTGTATTGTATTATTGTCAGGTGCAGGCAGCTGAAAGGCAGGAGTAAAAACTCATTTTTTATAGCAAGGTCTTTATAAGTTTAAACCAAGGAGCCTTTTTTATGGTGAAAGCATGAAATCCAAGAGTCAAGGGGAGCCTGTGTTCGTGGTGGCTGCTTGCAGTCCTGCTAGGCAGGGATACCGCAAAGGTATGAATTTCCTGACTCTGTAAATTAAATGGGATGCAAAAACAGGCAGGGGAAAGTTCCTGAGGGCTCAGATCCCGGTGAGAAAAGCAGAGGGAAGGCACAAGATGAATGATGCTCAATGGTCTGAGCTCAGATTATCAGGTATTGCACCCCCGGGCAGCAGGAGGTATTGCAGTCCAGATGGGAAGAACTAAGAGTTCGAGGGGCCCAGGGTCCTTCAAATACTTGCTTTAGCTTAGTCTTTTAGGAGCAGGGTTTTTTGAATCCCAAGGATGATATTTAGCTTCTTGTTTTTAATAGGAAAGGCTGTTTTAATTGGGATGATTCTTAACAACATTTATCTGATAAACGGGAAATGGCCACCCAGTGATCAATGGTGTTGATCATTAACCTTGTTGTCCAAGAAGACTGGCCAACTGGTCTTCAGTTGTTTAAACCAGCTGCCATCAGATTAAATAGTGCCTTGTTTTTCACTGTGGAATATGTGATCATTTGTAATATTTTTGGGTACTAGCTGGCATTTTAAAAGTTATTTGTATTTAATGTTTGATTTTGTGTGGTTTTTTTATCAGCTCTAGCTTTTAAGGTTTTGTGTGGATTTTTGAGAGCTATCATCTTTCTCTAAACAAGGTTTTAAGAACAGTGATACATAAATATGTCCCTTCTTTACTGGCTTATCCATGATTATCCCTCTCATAAAAGTAAAATGCTTGTGACCATGCAGGTTTTTTCCACCTCGGAAAGTCCGTCATAGATTTACAGTTTCAAGGAGTGAAAGATCCCTTGAAATGCTTTGGAAGAGGAATGGTTCTTCTTACTGGAATAATATTTTCTTTTCACACAGGCCACTCCTCCGGTGAACATTCCAGGGTCGGCAAAATTCACTCCCAATGGTAGTAGCTTTAGCATCTCTTGGCAGTCGCCTCCAGTTACCTTCACCGGCATTCCAGTAAGTGAATGACACCCAAAAAAAAAAAAAAAAAAAGGAGAGACATTTTTAGAAATTTTTGTTTTATTTCACAGTGTCTCACAGTAGAAGTCTGACATAACAGATACTGAAAAGAAAGAAATATGCCTCAGTTTGCCAGAATGGCTGATTTTAACACTTTTGCCAGTCTCTTCAATTCAGTACAGTTTCTTATTTTTGCATCAGTGTCTACAAGCAGAGAATTGGATCTGTAATAGATACTTTTTATACTGTATACTTAGAAAAGAGCATTCTGGTAGGTGCAGAGCCTGTCAATACATGTTCCTTTTTGTGCCACTAAGAGATTTCTTACAAAACTAGATGGAAAATCAGCAAGGTGATGGTTATGCTAACAGGCTAATTGGATTCAAGCAGTAGGGCTGTTACCTAAATGAACTCTGAAGATGAAGCTTATTTAAAATGCAACCGAAAGAAACAATAAGATGAAATGCAAAGTCTGATTCTAGTAGGCTACATGTGTGTAGTCCCTATTGAAATCAGAAAATTCTGTACTTTTATACAGAAAATATGCTTAATCCATATTGCATTTTGATATCAATGTATATTGCAGTTTGTCATTTTAATGAAGATGTATTAGATCTAAAGTCAACTCCGACTGTTTCCTCAAAAAAGCTAGTGTACAAGGCCTCATTTCATGAACAGGACTGCAGAAGTGGGATGTTTGCTTAAACATAGACTTCCAGTGGTCCTAAATGTAACGCAGTATAGGCGTGGATACTGTAGGGGGAGTTAAAAACCTTTATGAAGAGTTCAGAGGAATTAGGCTTCTAGTGCCTAGCATCGTGAATAGTAAAAGTAAATGTAAATCACTATTTATGAGTAGTGGAAAATCTTCTGTATAATAACTAGAAATAAATATTAATGTAATCTATCGTAATTTTTATTGAAAAGCATTTTTCAGTATAAATTGGTATTCTGCAATCATAAACCTTTTTGATATAACATTTCATTTAATATTACACTTTATAAATGTATGAATTTTTTAAGTGTGTTATATGAGGCACATTGCTCATCCAAAGAACCATATAGCTTTTTTTCTCCTGACAGTGAACATTAGACATCTCTCCCTTCTCTTCATCAAGTGAATCTCCAAAGCTTCTTACTGTCAACCTTTGGCAAATCTTGGAGATTTTCTGCCGAGGCTGTGGCATCCTGCAGGGCTGATAAAAAATGAAAGTGGCTGAATCAATTACACTGCACTCTGTCAATGAATATTTATTAAATTCCATCAAGGAACAACTAACAGTGAAAGACATCATGCTGGCAGCAATTTGAACAAGAGTGCCTTGACAGAGCATGATATCCATAAAGTTCCTCGAGAATTTGATTTCCCAACAATGGGGTTGATACAGAGTAATTACGAAACTGGCTCTTTTTGTGGAGTAGCAGAAATTGGTGCCAGGAGTGTTGGGAATCTAAAAATGCAATTAGCCACATTGTAAATCAGACACTTAAGAGGACAGGATTAGACACGTATGCGTTGAGTTTACTTGTTCAAGCAACAACGTTGATCTGTGGCTGTAGAGTTGAGAGTTCTCAAAAGAATTTAAGAAATGCCAAATCACTTTCTGAGAATTGTATGGAGATGCCAATGATTTAAGTACAATTTAAAAATAATCCAAATACAAAAACCTGGGGAAGCAGTGATGATGGCAGAATTATAAACTGCTCAGGGAACCATATGAACTGCCTTTATGTCTCTGTCTAACAATATTGATAAGACTGTTTAGCAGAAAAAAAAAAAAAAGGAACAAAAGCCTTTTAAGTTTGCACACACTAGATAATTCTGTCATCAGTGAGATCATTTATGAATTACAAGGACTTGCCTGCAGTGGAAAATTATGTGCAATAAGTGAGGGTGCAAATGCAAAGTGATGTTAAATGACTGTATATTTAATGAAAGTTTCATTTCTCCCGTTTCAAAGAAAATTAGATGTTGCCTTACGAAAACAGGGCAGTGTAACTGCTTTCAGAAAGCTGTAGCATAGGGGACTTCCTCCTTCTCTTATGAGGTTTATTTAAGCCCAGACTATGTGATATACTATAAACTCATGCAATTGTATATGTACATGTTCCCTGAGATTAGATGCACATCTGTAGCACCAAAGGGAACTTCAGAGAATAAGTTCAAACCATTACTTTTTGCCTGACCCTTAATATTTATTCAAGCTGTTTTCTCAGATGGCTTTGGGATACTTTTTGGGCCTGGACAAGCCACTGAGCAGTAAAGGATTAGGTACAGATTTGCAAAAGTGCGCAGGTCTACACATTTCTTCACGTTACTGGTGGTGTGCGAATGGGGCCATCCTGTCCTTAACCTGTTAGAGGGCTGTAGAATCCTGGTTTTGAACAGTCTCCTTTCTAGATCTGTATGTCAGCAGTTAAGTCCATGAGAGAGATGAAATTTCAAAATAGTCATCTTTTGTGGGTTTTTTGACACCTGCCTTAGGTGTTTCCCCATTCATTCCTGTGGACGTTGAATTTCGATGACACTGAGCACTCCCTGCTTGCTGTCCCAGCAACTGGGGTGTTCAGACAGCCATCATGACTTGTGCTAAGTCCTTGGTTTGGGGCAGTCTTTAGCAGAGCAGCACCAAATGGTCTTTGTGAACATGAGTGTGCTTATCAGCAAGTTCCTAAGCGCCTCAGAACAAGCTGTATGTACAGCTGGATCAGTCAAGGTTCAGTATGTGGCTGCTTTAGGCTCAGCAGTATCTAACTGCAGGCATTTATCTAGAAGCCTTGTAGTCATAAAGGAAGAGAATTAAGGGAACCTCCAAAGTCCTTATACTTTGTGCTCTGCATAAGTTAGATTCCGAAGGTAGATGGGAAATACACTTTTTCTTACCGTTTTCCCAAGATAACTTTGTAGGTGCAAGAGAAGGTTAAGCATTGGCACAGCTATGAGCCATCGCTAGGTACAGTGAAGCAGAAAAGGGCAAGTTCAAGTTTGCTCTACCACTTGAGACGAAACTGGGAGAAAAAATAAGGCACAGCGTGGGGATGTATGAGGAGGACAAATTAAGTAATGCAAGTGATATGAGCAATGGTGGAGTCTGTATCCCTTGGTACTGGAGGACTTAATGACTATATAGTCCATTTTTATGCAATGTAGGATAAAAGTTTTCTTGAATGCCAGCATGATGTCTGCTGTGTGTTACTGATTTTTACTTCCCTGCTCATAAGAGCCAAAAAGGTTGAACAGGCGAGAATATCTTTTAAGTTTGATAATCTGATGTTTACAGATCACAAATCTTCACAACAGTTTCCCCCAGGAGATGTAACTGGAAACTCCAGGTCCTCCCTTCAAACACTATCGTTTCGTTTCACGTTAATTCTCTGTGTTAGACAACACTTCAAATGTGAAAAGCCTCCGAGGGCAAGGATTGCCTTCTCATGCCCTCCTCTTAATCCGCTCTTAGTGTCACCTACAAAGGAGTACAGCTCACCGGTATTGTTTAGACCTGCTGCAAAGCGTATCAAAATACACTAAAGCTCCACTTCAGTGCAGTTTAGCTGCCTTGGTATGCCAGTCTGTGGAAACCATGGTTCAGAGACCCTCTCTGGAGAACGGGAGGGGGAGACCCAGTCTGCACGTGCCAGTTACTGGTCAAGCCTATTCTATGTTTGGAAGCAATCAGGATAATTGCTGGTAACATAAGAGGCGATCAAAGTAATTTTCTGTTCAATGATAACTAAGGAATACGTTGAGTATCAGTTAGCAGTGGTACACATGAAAATTTTCTGTTTTTTAAAACGTTTAAGAACACTAGCAGAATTGACTGGAGATCTCTGGTTGCTGGTATGACCGGAAAACGGTGCAGCGTGTGATAAATGCCAAAGGCTAGAAAAGTGTTATTGCTTTGCATTTTATCTTCAGTGTTTCAATCATTCTTAGGTAAAACAAGAGAAGTGGTTGATAAAAGACAGGGAAAAAAGTAGTAGAAAAGAAGCCGCGCTCAGTACTGTGGAGTGATAGGACAGAAGGAGCCAGGGTAGTCTCTGGATGTCTAAAACATGACTTTATGGTAAGCAGGCAGAGAGAGAGGAAATTTCTTTCAAATTTCGGAGATACATTTCATATATCAGTAATGGTCTAAACTTGTTCAGAGAGTGAGCTGCGCATGCAGTTAAATCAGAAGTTTCTGTAGTTACCAGCCAAGAGTAAAAGTAAAAAGAGTGAGCTGCACTCCACTGTATTATTTTTTTGCTACCGTGGAGTAGCTGTATAAAATAGACTTTATATCGAAAATCAAAGCACATTCAGTAACTCTCTTCAAGTCAGGTCAGTTCCCGTGCTTCCAGATATTATGAGACTTCAGAAGGGCGGGAGTGAAAAGCCATAGCAATGCAGGGAACAATGACAGTATCTGCAGTTCCTGGCTGCAGGAGGCAGTGACTCCGTGCACCAGATGCCCAAATGAAGGTTGCTACATTCTGTACATAACAAAAAATGAGCGGTTGTAAATTTTTTCTGGTGTTTTAGATGTCAAGTGGTTGTGGCCTTTACTCAGGAGCAAAATAAGACCCTAGCAGTAAATAGTTTAGGAATTATTTAAGGCCAAGCTTTTTGCCATGTGATTAGTCAAATAATGTTGCCAGCCCCCAGGCTTACATAGGAGGCTTATTTGGAAAGTCTTGGAAGACCAAACTACGCTCTTCACTCAGGAACATTCACAAAAGAGGACACCTGCTGAGAAGGTTTACAGTGCAGAATAAAGGAAATAAATAATCCAGTACATCTTGTTAGCAGCCTTGATCAGAAGGGCTGCTTTGCACTCCAAGTAAAACCTTGAGGGCCGCATCATAACTGCCCTGCAGCAAAGCCCCTTCGCCAAAGCCGTCTCTCCACAAAAAGTGCCAAGTCGCAGACAGGAGCAACACATGAAATCCCGATGTTTCATAGGGGGTTATTGGTATTGATCTCAGCACAGGACGGAGTTTATTTTTCCAGCTATTTTCTCTTTTTAGATTGGAGAACGTTTTCATAAGAGCTATTCAGAGTTCTTAAATAAGAATGAATGCATTTTCTCTATTTCCCAAAACCTGAAATGATGCTGATCTGTATTCTGGTTTGCTCTGTTTGGATGACTGAAAGTACAGGGAAACATAATGAAACTAATATAATGTACCTAAAGCTAAATGGTCATCTTTCTAAATAGACCTACAACTTACTTGTGTTGTATGTTATACAGTAAGCTTTCCTGGGTATCCTTGCCACCATACATCATGAATTGCATTTTCTGGGAAAAGTGTTTATACTGCATTCATATGTGTATGTTCTTCGTAAGCAGCTTTTTGTCTGTATTGACAGGTCTCACCAACTCATAATCGTCCTGCAGGGAGTGGAGAGCAGAAACAGTCCCACACAGTTCTTTCATCACCGCCTAGAGTAGCATTTGGCTTGAGGTATGGGACCATTAGTTCCTGCTGGCAGACCAGCAGCCTCAGAACCTGGAGGGCATTTAGTAAATAAGACGTTAGTGGCCAAAGAAACTGAAAAACCGCACCACCGACCGTGATTGCAATTGTCAGGCAGTTTCTTAGTAGAACGCTTCAGAGTAAGCTGTTCTGCACCTATTTTGCTTTTCATTACCATCAAAGGTAAAGTTCAGGGGGAAAGTGAGTTGTTGCAAAATGAGAAAGGCCGACTGTGAAGCAAAACTGCAGGCCTTATGCCAGGCGTGTCTGGAGTTCAGATGTGGATCTAAACTGTCCTGTAAAGCAGCGCTGCCCAGATTCGCTGCTCCAGCTGAAGCATCCTGAACTTCACTGTGTGGCTTTACTTTTTTCCCCCTCAAAGGCTGGGCTGTCTCGAGTGTTTATCACCATTCAGTCAGTATGGTATTTGGCTTCAATTGAATTATAAGAAACCACATCTTACAACAAATTAGATTAAAGCAAAGCTTTTTATACCTTGTCTTGTACGTAAGCTACATTCACTTCCATTAAAGCTAACTGATGTTTGACTGTAGTCTGCTTTAAAAGCGTTCAAAAAGTTATGTTAAAAAAAATCAAACTGTGATGCTAAATTTCTTACAGTAAAGAAATGTCTTATTTCCCACAGTCCTAAAGGTGACTGTCCCCTAAGATGAGACCAAAGGAAGATTTCATGCTTTTCATTTTTCTTTATGACTCTCAGATCATTGCATATGCTACAAATCAAACTTAGGATCTTCCCAGTTCCTGGATTGTGCCCATTAATGAATGTTCAGGCATAGGTATGCAAGAGGAATCACCAGGCAATTCCCATGTGTGCCATGCAGCATGTAATACAGACATTAAACAATTGTGTCTGTACAGTTATTTGATTTAAAGACACTGGGACAAATGGCACTGCCGTAGCGAGCGTTGGGTTACTTGTAGCGTTGCTCCTGGGGTTTGCTGGCTTGCTGTGTGTTGAATAAAAAAAGTTCCATTTTAACAGTTACTTTGATCATTTTCTAAACTTGTGAACTTTTGAGTGTGGTTATAAGATGGAAAACATGACAATTGGTGTAGCTTTAAAAGCAGATACTGCCCACCTTGCTGACTTTGGGGACGACAGAGAAGGAGCACACGTGAACGTGCTGCAAATGAGGGAAAGGGTTAAAACTTCTTTTCAATCACTTTGTTGTTTTTCAGTCAGTGAGCTCAGAGCAAACCATGGCGAGCATCGGAGCTGGTGGCTTTCCCCCTCTTCTGCGTAGCTCCTCCCTGCTGGTCGTCAAGGTCTGCCGGTCAGAGCTATGCAAAATATTTGTACCGCAGCTGTAAAGCAAAGAGGACTTCTGCCTGCCGTGACCTGGCCTGCGTTGTAGAATAGCTACGACTGCCCATTGCGGCTTGGCACTTAACGTGGCTGAAGTACCGTTTATCTAGAGCGGGTTTAGTCGCTGGCTGAAGTCAGGGCTGTGTGTTCCTGGGATGAGCCCTGGAGCAGAGGAGCGGGCTCAGCAGCTGCTGTAGAGGCTGTAGAAGCCAGGCGAGGAGAAGGACTCGTCCCTCGGAGCTGTGGAGTCATGGCCGTATGTCTGTCTGCTTCGTCAGCTCCCGCTTGACTGGAGAACAACCCAAATCCCTTTGAAACGCTGGGGGGTTTCTGCCTGCTGCACTCGCTTGAAATTGTTGTCCTGATCTTAGGGTGATAAAGCAAAGCTATGAAAGCATCTCGTTAACAAGCTTCCCTTTCTCTCTGACAGGAAGCCTAGAGGGGAGGGGAAAAAGTGTCGGAAGGTCTATGGGATGGAGAACAGAGATATGTGGTGTACTGCCTGCCGATGGAAGAAGGCCTGCCAAAGGTTCATCGACTAAAGATTGAAATTATGCAGAGGATTTGGGGATGGGGGAGGACAACGGCAGAACCAGATTGCTGCAGCTGCACTGTATCACTTCCCATTTTCCCTCCAGTGATGTGGTCTTGGGGTTTTTTTGATTGTTCTTTTGGGGTGTTTTTTTTTTTTTTAAAAAAAAAAAAGAGCTTTGTATTTCAAAGTGAAGCACTTGTAGCCAAGGAGAAGCACTAATTAAAACCTGTGTGGAGCAATAGAGAAAGAAAAAAAAGCAAAACCAAGAACATACAACAAAATTCTGTCTTACTAAGTATGGAAACCAGAGCAGCTATTAGTGTTTTTCTGTAAAAGAAAGGAAAAAGTTAATTTTTTTGCTAACTCTGTGAGCTCCTTGCTCCTTAGGATCATTTTTAACCATTTCAGTCTCTGTGCTGTGAACGTCTGTATTTGCTAAACTGAACAATTTTTCTTTTCCTGAAACGAAGATCTCTTTTTCAGAGCTTTCTAATAAACACTTCTGAGTCATATAAGCTACAGTTTACTCAACAAAAGACTGGAGACCGCTAAGTAATTCTCCTGATACAAATGATCATGATTATATTATATTTTTGGAAAGGAGGTGTGGGGAGGAGTTGGGATTTTCTTTTGTTTGTTTATAGGAGAAAAGCAAAGTCTGAGTTTGCAAGAAGGACAAGCAGTAGTGCTCCTGGAAGATTTTTAAACTGGGCACAGACCAGTGGAGTGGAACAAAGTAATTGAAGTACCAAATTGGATTTTGATCCTCTAGAGGAAGAAAAGCAGCAATGGAAAGTCACCAGCAGATAGTGTCACAACAAGAAGTTGAGGGAAGAAATCCAGTGATGCTTGATTGAAGCTTGTAAGAATATAATGGGGCTCCAGTAGCTTTTCTTACTGCTCTCCTGTTTCCAAGGGAGGAACAGTTGGACCAGCCCGTCTGTTGCTGCAGGAGGCCTATAAAGAACTGGTAAATGCAGCCACAAGGATGATATGTAAAATCTATTCAGGGACATGATCCAGCCCAGCAGTTCTGCTTTTGCTTCCTTTTCTCTTATTTGAGAGATTGTTAAGATAATGGGTTGCTCAGCTTCCCCCCACCCTCCCTTAAAGTTGCTAAGATTTATTCGACACAAAAAATTGGTAGAGCAAATACCCCCTTTCCACAACATCATCTCAGAAAAAGAAGTACAACAGCAAAGGAGCAACGTATTTATGGTAAAAGTCCATTTCTTCACTTATTTTGATACACCAATTACCAAGTTTCTCCTCTACTTGTAGTACCTGGATAGATTTGGGTACTTTAGTTTCTCTGTCCGTCAGAAAGTATACACCGGATTGCGGCAAGCTGGTGTTCTGTCTCAACCTGTATTGAATGGCCATTAATTAATGATTTTTTCAGTGCAAAAATAAAGTAAGGATTTACTAGGATATGAATGTATGTGGTTAAACAATACTTGCTTGTTAAAGAAAGCAAGACACCATAAAAAAATTAAAGACGGAAGCAAAACTTTGCCTATTAATAAAGGCAGGGAGGCCCAAAATTCCTGGATTTTTTTTTTTTTATACCATTTGAAATTAGACCAGATCTTTTTCTTCTTTTTTTTTTTCTTTATTGTCTAAGCTGGCTTATTCTCCGTGAAATAAAGGGACTGTAAGTGTTCAAACAGCTTTCTAAAATCTGGTCCAAAGTTCACTTGATGGCTTTATTAAGCGTGCATCGCTGCTTATGCCTATGTAAAAGCACAAACTAACAATGTTGTTTGGAATATACACTATGAATTTGGTAAAATAGTACTGAGAAGTAAAATTCCTAATAGGAGCTACCGAAGGTTATCATCTGATTTTCTTTGAACGAGTTAATTGGGCAATCAGATGCCTAATTTGAGCATGCTATTTCTGCAGTTGTTTACAAATTGTGTAATTTACATGCACAAGTGGCAAGATACGCTTGCATGCATGCAATTACTTGATTTTTTTGCCCAATTGTGTTCTGAAGTCATTTAAAAAAGAAAAAAGAAAAATAGACTCTGAAATCTAGTAAGACCCTGAAATATATATACATATGTGTGTATGAATATTTATAAAACTATATGTATTTTATATATATAGTTTTAATATATATAAAATCTGGGATCAACAGAGAGAGGAGTAGAAAGATTGTTTTCTTTATAAGTATAAAACAAGACACTAAAGGTCAGTGGATATACATAGCCACTGTTTTATTGTCTTTCCTCTTAGTAAAAGGTGGGTCATGGGTTTTCTTTGGACATTGTATTTTTTTCAGTTTCCTTAGTAAAATACCTCATAGTAATTCATACTCATTTCCTCTTCAAACACTGAGCTTGCTGATGGTGTATTTACTTTGGTAGAACGTAGAAAATTTGGGACTTTTCCAAGATACTCCTGCCAATTTGCCCCCCGATTTTTAAAAGCACTCCAAGACTAATTATAAAGCGTTCCGTAATTAATTTGACTATTGTTAGACTGACAGTATTTGCTTTCATATTTGTTGTTCCCTTCCTTTTATATTTTCCCTTTGTGACTTCAGAGGATTTTTTTAAAAAATAATGTATCAGATTGTATATTGTTTCTATAATGTCATGGCATTGTGAGCACCTTTCCTGAGGGCACTTTACGAATTATTGTAATAAGATTATTCTTTATAAATTTCTGCACGGAAGAATGGTTTTGTTGCCAGACCAGATTGCCCTCTGGTACAAATTTGATATGGATTTCATATAGGCACAAAAGCCACGAATCATCAAAACGGGATAGAAAGTTGGTGTTAACAAAACAGAGGACAGAAGACGCTTGATAAATCCTGCCAGGACAAAGCTAAATTACCAGTATTTTTACACAACCTTTAATCAGCAGTTTATATTAAATCAATTTTGCATCTTATGGCTGTGGCATTTTGATTCGAAAGTAGGCACTCCTCGAGTTGCCGTGGCCAGCAATAGGGAGATGGCACGGCCCTCTGGACCCGCATGAAGCATTCACCAGTCGCTCCGTGCTTTGAACTTGGATTACTTCGTGTCGCACGAGCACAAGCACTTCAGCGCCCGCCAAGATTCCCTTCGCCCTCCTGACACACCCAGCAAGAACAGGAACGTCAGCAAAGCCTTTCCTGTGCTGGCAGTACCGAGCGTAATCTGGAATAACCTCTTCTGGTTTTCAGTCTCTTGCTTCGGTGTTGCTTTAAGCTGCATCGCTGTCCTCCTAACATCCAATTCATCTCACACTTCTGCACCAGCCTCTCCAAAAGAGTCAGATTTCTTTGTTTTCCCAAGGAAGAGCTAGCCTGAAAACTTTGGTCGCTTATCGTCATCAGTACAGGCCATTTCCCCTGTTTTCGGTTTCTCTGTGGGAGGTAGGTCGTTGTTTCTGACTTCCCGGCGAAGTCAGAAAGAATGGCCTGAACACATCACGCGGTCTCTGTGTGCTACAGGGATTTGGACGTGGGTTCGTTTGTGTCAAGAGCCAGAACTTCTCCTTGAGATATAAAACTGGAAGGTTCTATTTATTGGGTTTAACCACTTAGTAGTATTGATGCTGGTAACAGAAATTGCCAGCATCAGTATCAGAGTGGAAATGAACTGTATAGATCCCAAATATTTTTCTTCGGGAGTTTTCTTGCTATAACAAAGCTATTTCCCACTTCCCCATTCCCCAAAAGGTCTGGAAAAGGAGATCATTTTAGAAGTGGGAAATGTTAATGGCGATTTTTAAAATGTGGCTGTGCTCCAACTGCTCCTGTATGAAGCTATTGGATGTTAACAAACTCGGATCATCTTAGTCGTACAATGCTTTCCACCCAAAACGATGTGCCTGATTCTCTAGTGCCTTGCACGTATGTAACAGGATACACAAGATGCAAAGTGAGCAAAAACTCGTCCATTCCTATTTGCAGGTTTACACTTACTTTTAACCAATACCAGTAGTCGCCGAGCAGGTATGTGTTGTCATGTAAGCCAGACCTACAGGTCTGCTTGTGTGAATACGCTACGCAGAATGCCTATGTAGTGAATTTCTTTTTCCAAATTGTTAGGCTGATGTGAACGTTTGCTATCTAATGATCTACAGATTCCTTGCACCTTTTCACTATCACCGAAATCACTTTCTTCATTCCTTCTCCCCTTCACTTTTTAAGGTAACGACTAAGTAGGCGACACAACAGGAGGCAAAGCTTTAGCCAGAAGTTCTTGTAGAACCTGCATGTAAGAAGGGATTCCAGCTTCACGTGATATCCCAGATGTCCTTGTCACTGACTTTCATTTTTTCATTCATTCTGATCCAGTGAGTTGGTGTGGTTTTCTATTTCTTGCTATGGTCTGGGACCAGCTAGAGTGGCCCTGCTGAGAATTCAGGACAATCCCTGGAAGTGTGGCAGTACAAAGCGCTTTCTTTGTTCCCCTGCCTGTAAATATGTTGAAATGCCATCTCAGAAACAGGACATGAAATCAGAAGCTTGCTAGCCACGTGCAGAGACATCGGAGGTTGCCAGTGAGGCTGTTTCTTTTGGTTCAAACTTCAGTCATCTGTTGAAGAAAGTTGTGCTGCGCCTTTTCTTACGAATGTTTTGATAAGGAAACATTTGTAAAGTCTCATCTTGGTCTTACATTTACATATTCAATCTTCCTGTAAGATGGTAGCACTGGAACGGAGACCATGCGGAGCATGGGATTTAATCGGCATTTGTCAGGATTTTTCTGGTGAGCTGTTGCAAAGCATCATAGCGTAGATTTTGTTCTGGTATAAGTTCAGGAGAGTTTATGGCACCTTTAGCAGAATAGCTAGAAAGTAAGTCATGAGCAGAAATTCATCAAGCTGATGGTCTAAATACATTCTGTGTCTGCTAGACGTAAGCTGCCCTTGTTTGCATCTATGTGGAGCCTGAAAAGCTTCAAGATTGCAAAAAAGGCAGTGCACACCTCTAGTTGATGTGGCACCTACAGTGCCCACTTGAGCTGTGTTTTCCATCTTAGACTGCAGTGCTTTCGCATTGACCATGCTCTCACTTCTATCCCAATGCAAGGGGTGTATCTTCCACTTGCAACTTTTTGAGTTTATTCCTCAATATGAAAACCACTAATCCATGTTCTTCATGCTTCACACAGACCATTTTTAATAGCAATCCAGAAAGACCCTGAAAACAGAAATCAGTCTGTTTCTGACGGCACCAGGCAAAATAAAATCTGGTTTGCTCCTGTGCTTGCTCATGCTCACAGCAAGAATTCCTTTGGCTATTTAGCTGATGAAATGTAAGGGAATGGATAAA